AGGCTGAAATTCAGCCCCGTTTAAAAGGGGGCTTGGTTTTTTGCCGTGGAAGTGAAGTTGCCAACGGAAGAAGTGGGTTTTCTTCCTTTTTAGGGGGTCCTTAAAAACCAGGACCTCGTCAAAAGAAATAAAATATCTCTTCCCTCTTTGGAGAGCTGCCGCATCTGTCCGGTTGGGTGGCTTGCCCGTTTTCGCTCTTGCACGCCTGGGTATCACCGATTCTTGCCACACTGCATCCCATACCGGATGCTCAATTCGGAGACGACCCAATTAAAAGATGCCCTTCCTGGTGTCTAGTTTTTTTTTAACCCTAGGATCAGGTCTCGGGTGGGTGAGTGGGAATCAGGCATCCAGAAGGAAAGGATGCAGCCAGCAGCAGCCAGATTTTGAAGCGGAGGCATAGCAGAGCAGGAAAATATTCATTATTTGGATTTTTAAAAAAACAAAAACACAAATTTCAGCCAACGTGGGAGTGTGGCTTTAAAGTTTCCAAGCCCTGAGCAATCTGGACTTAGTTCCTCCATAGGAAATTCCAGAGATTTAAAAAAAAACATCTGATTCCATCACGGCATCGCCCTGTGTTGAAGTTATATTACGCAAGCCACCCACCCAAATGCACACACAAAAAATGTTATTTTCCTTGCATACAATCCAGGGATCTCACCTACTCTCCAGTTGCTGCATACATGGAGACAGAACACCCAGTTCCAACCCGCTTTGACAGAAAAGAAAGGGGTGGGAGGTTAAAATGCAGCCGTGCAAATAAAAAATTAAAAAAAAAAACCACACACCTAAACTTATTTTTCTCTTCCTGCTTCCTCCTAGATAATGTATAGCCATCCGCAGGGGAGGGGGAAAAGCTTCAGCCTTGATTGGCAAGCATGCTAGCCAATCAGAGTGCCTCTTTCTTTTAGGAGGAGGGTATGTTTACTTTCTTTGGAATTTGGACTCAGGAGGCGTGGGTTCGATTCCTCCGCTCGGCCATGGGAACTCACCTGGGGGTGGAAGTGTGGAAACGGCTCCTTAAATACCTCGCTTGCCTTGAAAACCCTGTTAGGGTCCTTGCAAGCGGGTTTTGACTTGATGGCACATCGTAAGTGGGATGCAAGGTTAGGGGAAGAGCATAATTTTTGCTTTTCCGCATCTAGGGCACATTTTTTCTTTTTCCTCCTGAGCAGGTTTTTAAAAAGGTCTTGCAGGTTTTTTTTCAAACAAAAACCTGCAGCACCTGTTTAAGCAATGACGAACAAGGGGTGCTTGCCTGCACCCCCCCACCGCCCATGCATTCCTCGTTCAAAGGCCGCTCTGCTTGGCTAGAAAATAAATCCATGAAAGGAACTCATCGGCATGGTGATGTGTGGTTGCGTTGCTTGAATATGCCAATATTCATGAGCGCAGATGGTGACAGCAGAAACAGAAAGAGAGAGAAAGGGTGCCACTAAAGGGGGCAAAAATCCTCTAGCTTTTTCGGTGGCTAGTGCTGAAAACTAAAAACAGGACGTCAGCAGTTAGAAGTCTACATTATATTTGTATTTATTCATTTTATTGTTTACATCATTGCTAGCTAGCAGCCCGAGAGGTGGGAATGACCTCGTTTCAAAGGGGGTTTGGGTAGTAGATTTTAGAAAAAATGCTGGGCTCTGCTTTCAACCCCTAGTGACAGGGATCCCATCATCATCCCCCCCTCCCCGTTGCGGCAGCTCCCCCTGGCTGCTGATCCGTTTCCGAGCAAAACTCAAAAGTGTTGAACCTGTAAAACTCTAAACGGCCGGGATTCATGCAGTCTCAAGGACCGCGTCTCCCTCAATGAGCCTCCTCAAGTGCTAAGAGCCTCAGGGGAGGCCTTGCTCTCGGTCCCAAAACCTTCAAAAGTGTCTTTGCTGGGGACATGGGAGAGGAGGGCCTTTTCGGGGGCGGCGCCTTTAGACTCTGGAACTCCCTCCCACTGGAAACCAGGCTGGCCCCGTCTTGGCTCTCCTCCTGCAAATATGTAAAGATCTTTCTCTGCAGGCAGGCTTTCCCTGAGCAAACGGCTGCCTAGGTGGGGTTTAGTTAAACGTATTGCTGCATTTTACCACTTCGAATGTGTTTTGGTATCGCTTACGTCTGCCCTTATTCGTGTGTTTTTTGTATATTCACTGTTGTTAGCTTTTGATACTGTTGCTTAAGGGTGTTGGGTTCTTTTGAAGGAGGAAGGCGGAGCAAAAGCAAACAAACAAACAAAATAATGCCAACCTGCTTTAAGGGGAAATGCCCGTAGCAAAGGGGACGAAGACTTTTTTATTTAATACACACCAAGACGACTAAAACTTATTTCAGCCAGCCTTCAAAGACGTCTGTCTCTGTATACATTTCCTGGAGTCAGCCAGCGTCGGGGAACTTTTCCTGGGGAAGGATTTATTTTATTTTCTATCCTTGGGGGTGACTGTTTATTTTTAGCTTTGTAAACCACTTAGTGTCGGCACACGAGGTCAGCGGTATACAAATTTATGAAAGAGAGGGGAAAGGAATGAATGAATGAATGAATGAATGAATGAATGAATGAATGAATGAATGAATGGAGGGAATGAATCCTTGGGAGTTATTGTTTATTTTTAGCTTTGTAAACCGCTTAGTGTCGGCACACGAGGTCAGCGGTATACAAATTTACAAAAAGGGGGAAAAGGAATGAATGAATGGATAAACAAATGAACGAATGAATGAATGAATGAATGAATGGAGGGAAGGGAGCATTCTCCATTCAACCGGAATGGAGTCCGGAATCCAGAATTCCCTAACGGTCGGTCCACTCACCTTCTTGTCCCCATTGCTTCCTGCCCAGACCCCAACACCGCTGGCCAAAGCCGAGCTCCATGGATGGAGGCCCTGTCTAAGCCTTACCCTCTGCAAAACCTCGGCTCCCTCTCTCCTCTTTCCCCGGCATCCAGGGGTCCCTCTTCCCCTTGGGCATCTCCTCCCAGCTTCTCCTCGGCTCCGTTCCTCCTCCTCCCTCCTCTCCTTCTTCGAAGCCCCCTTCCACGATGGGCTGCAAGCCGAGACGGCACATCTTCTTCTGCCGGCCCGGGGCTTCTTTCGGCGCCCGGAAGGGCCCGTTCGGCGGTGACGTCTTCTTCTGCCGGCCCGGAGCTTCTTTCGGCGTCCGGAAGGGCCCGTTCGGCGGGACCTCGGCCTCGCTCTCCGCCACCACCGGGCCGGGATCCCCCAGAACGAGGGGTCGGGCGGCCACCTTAGGGGCCAGCTGGCTTTTCTGCTTGCGGTAGCGCAGCTCCTTGAAGGTGGTCACCCCGCAGGCGGTGGTGGGGTTGGCCGGGTCCGAGGGCGAGGTGGACGGGCTGGCTTTGTCCGGGGCCGAGCCCCACGTGGCCTCCGGAGAAGGGGGGAACTCCGTGTCCGGAGAAAAGACAATCAACCAGTCGCTCTGTTCCTTCCTTCCCTGGGTGGCCACTTTCTTCCTCTTTTGGGCCAACTCGTGGAAGGAAGTGATGGTCTTCTTGACCCCTTCACCTTGGGGGCCTGCCGGCTGCTCCTCCGAGGCCCCCAGAGGCGCCGTCTCCGATTTCGGCTTCCCTGCCTCGCTTCTCCTCAACCCCTGAAGGCCCCTTTTGGTTCTGGGGGGCACTGGAGGAGGGACCCCCCCAAAGCGAGGCCGGGGCAGAGCCTCCCGGTTGGAGTTGATGTCCACCCGCCCCACGGAGGATCCCTCTGGCTCAGTTCCCTCGTCCGGCAGGGCGTTGCAATTCGAATCCAGGCCCGGGCCGGCAACGGGGGGAACCGGCACCGCCGGGGGTGCTCGGCAGGGCCGGACCGGGGGAGACGGTGCTGGTGGAGGAGGTGGATTTGAACCAGCCAGGGGACGCTCCGCCAGGATCTGCGGGCTGGGAGAAGCCGGGCCCGAGGTGGACTCCAGCGAGCTGGCACTGCCGAGGCTGTCGGGGCTGTCCCAAACTCGGGACGGAGGACGGTCCACGGCCCAGATGTTGAGGTTCAAGCTCCTGTCCTCGGGCCGGGCCTGCAGGACGAGGTTCTGAGCCTCCTCCAAGGGGACGATGTTGGGTGGGTTCTCAGGGCTTTGAGCCTCTTCCCCGGGGAACGCTTTGTAGTAGACGGAGACCGGCGTGTCGTCCAGGCTGAGATCCGAGCAGCTGCTGACGGACGAGGAATCCGGCTCGGAAGGGGAGCCGAGGTCTCCATCCTCTTCCTCGTGGGTCAGAATCGGCCCGTTGGCCAACGCTTCCGGCCGGAGCGCCAAGCCGGGCTTGACCTCCGGCGGGAGAAGGTGGCCGGCACAGCATCGGCACGACAGCGACGGGTTGTTGGAGTTGGCGTCCACCAGCTCGGGGGTGACCCCGCCGTTGGCGTGCCGGTGGCAGTCGGAGCAACCCATCCGGTCTCTCTTCGGCCCCGAGGCGGGGGCTTGGAGTTCGGGGTGGCGAGAGAGGTGGAGGCCCAAAGAGATGTGCTGGAGGTGGACGTGGTTCAAATTGCAGACCAGGCCTTTCTTGGGGGACTCCATGGCTCCGGAAGGCGAGAGGAAAAAGGGGGCAGGCCCCCCACCCCGGTTGCTGAGACGCTCCCGGGTTTCAGCCGCCAGGGTGGTGTTGATGTCCTGGGTTCCGGGGAAAGGTACAAGCGGCTCCTAAAATCCAGGCTAGAAAAGGAAGGGGATAAAAAGAAATCATCATGTCTAGGAGAACAGCTGATATTTCCCCCCCCTTCACGGCATTTTTGGCAGCACATCCTTTCCCTATGTTGTTCCTGCATTTAAGAAAAAAACAGGACTGTTGGTACTGCACATTTTTACCACATTGGTAGTGCATTATTCCCCCAATTTTGACTGCACCATTTTTTTAAAAAAAGGAGTCCACCATTCCGACTGCACATTTTTTACTGCATGGTCGCTACTATTTTTTTTTTAAAAAAGGATGCAGTTCTGAGCATCCTTGCAAAATCTCCGATGGATGTTTTTTTTAAAAACCAGGGCTGTGTTTTTCACTCCGCCTTTTCCCCAGCACTGCACGCTAAAAACATCTGTGCGCAGTCCTGTTTTTTTCATGGATTGTATCCTTTGCACCACACTGCATGCACATGTTTTTACTACATGCACACTGCATGCACATGTTTTTACTGCACGGCATTGTATTGCACTTATTTTTCGTGGATTGTATCGTGTACACTGCGCTGTGCGGTTAATGCACATATTTTTATCGCACTGCATTTTACTGCACTGTCACGGAATAGGCCTTCCAATGGTCCCTAGCCGGTATGAACAGGATACTATTAAGTTAGAGAGATTTTGGTTTGTTCCTGCCAAGGCATCGCTGCTGTTCTTTCCTCATAATGAGGAATGATGGGTGTAGAAGAACGAACATTAGGAAACCATGGATCTTTGGACATCATACACGGATCGATAGCCATTTCCGCTCCGGGTCACTCTTGGAAAGTTCAGTTAAGAGACTCATCAGAAGTGGATCGGACCACCTCGCTGCCGGAGCTGGACAACCCTAGAACAACGCATGCTAATCGCCGTGAAAAGTAAGTTTCTAGTCCTCCTGCTAAAAGAGATCGAAGTGAAAACATGGGCAGGATCCTAGCGCAACACCAAGCATGGATCACAATTTGTTTCCTGGCTGCTCAGTACAGGTATGGTTCCCCTTCTGCATAATCAAAAACTGTTGGGAGTTTTTGCAACCTCGCAAGCTGCCTTGAGCAGGGCGGGACCTTTCTCGGCTGGGATGACTGTCTGTCAATCTGGTGCTAACCAATCATTCCCTTCTGTCTCAAAGAGAACTCCTCCCTCTCTGCTCAATGCTTCTCTCTCCCTCCCCCCAATATTTTTGTTGTCTGCTGGCAATTGGTAGTCTGTTGAGGCCAGTTGTTGAAAGCAGTCGCGTTGGTTGATTTGCTGTTTGATCCGTCCAATTGTAAGTAAAGAAAAGGGTGTCTATTCTCCCTCTCCGACTGTCACAGAGTGAGTTACTGAGACTGTAAACGCCAGTTGATGAGAGAAAGGGGCGGACAACTCTCTGTCAAACGTGAAGCTATTTCCGATCTGTAAATCCCTGCACTTTTCCGTAGCTAGAGGAAAATCATTTAAAAAATTCAAAACTCCAGGTGGAGGTGGATTGTTCTTGTTGCTGTCTACGGATATTGGGAGTTGTAGTCCAAAAGAAGTAACTGTTCTAAAAGCACTGAGTCTGGATATCTAGCAGAATAGTTCTAATTCTCTAACCAATTATCTCCTGTTCCTGACAGCGGTCAGTCAAACATCCTGAAACTGGAACAAAATGTACACCAAACCTAAGAGGTTTCAAGCGTCTGCTAGACCGGAGGTAGCTTGCCTTGAAACATGGAGGATCCAGCAGATTGCTTGGGTTGGGAACACATCTAGACAGACTGCGTCTCGATCTCCTGTAGCAAGGCAGATGGTAAGAAAGATGCTTTCCGCCCCCCTTCCCTCTGAATCTCTTCTCTCTCTTTCCCTCCCTCGCCCCCCCCAATTAACCATCAATAATTCAGAATGAGGAATTGAGTTCTCATGACAACCGAGCCATTCCCGGGGGTGTGTGTGTGCGCTGATCACTGTCTGGATCATAACAGCCCTTCTGACCAACTTGGGTCCAGACGGCCAAGGACGAGCCAGGAAGGAAATCCAGATTTTTCTATTCAGACCGATTAGCTGGAGGCGAGCGATTGCTTTCTTCCTTGGGGGGGGGGAGAGATTAGAAGCCTCTTTTCTGTCCTTGCCTTTAAGGGTTGCTATCCTGCATGGCCCTTGTAGAACTCTGGACACGTTGCTGTATTTTTATTTTTTTTTAGCACTACAGCTCCCCTCACCCCCCTCACCCCGGTGGCTAGGGGATGATGGGTACTGCAGTCCAAGAATAACATTTTCCGACCCCCCCCCCCCACTTGCACGGATTGTGTTGGTTTCAAACAATCTTCAGCCCAAACCGGACACCAGCCAGCAATAGGGTTGCTATCCTGCATGGCCCTTGTAGAACTCTGGACACGTTGCTGTATTTTTATTTTTATTTTTGGCACTACGGCTCCCATCACCCCCCTCACCCCAGTGGCTAGGGGATGATGGGCACTGCAGTCCAAGAATAACATTTTCCGACCCACCCCACTTGCACGGATTGTGCTGGTTTCAAACAATCCTCAGCCCAAACCGGACACCAGCCAGCAATATGTGTGTTGAACAACATTTCAAACGTTTTTATTATTTTTTTCCCCCGCTTCTCCAAACAGAGTCTGTTCCGGAGGGTAACCCTCGAGCAGAAAAAGGGGCACTCTGCATGTTCTCAGAGGCGGTCTGTTGACCGAGTACGTCGTAGGGCCAAACCTGCGTTGAAAAGCCTCCGTCGGTTGCTACCTCCTGGCCCCTGGCGGTCATTTTCTCCTAGATATTTTTTCCAGACTTTTAGAGACGTATCCGGGCTCCGTTCTCATCATCACCGCTATCATCCACAGCCACCTTACAAGGTAAGTCGCAGCTAAGAGAAAACCACCAACCAACCCTGACAGACATTCGAACTCAGCGCCGGCGTGTCGCCTTTTGGAGGAACCAAGAGCCTCCATACCCCACCCCACCCCACCCATTGGGAGGAAGAAGAGGGTTCAGGTTGCCCAAGACCAATCTGTGCCCTCTTGGCATCCTGACACCCCCCCCCTCATTTGCCCTCTGCCATCATCTCCCAGCTTCCAGACCAGGCTAGCCTTTCTGCGGGCGAGATGCCAAAACACTGCAGAGAAAGGGTGGGAGAGGAAATAAATATACAGTGGGTACCAACCCTCCCTTGGTATCGAAAACTGGGCATCGCTGGGCGGAGGTGCCAGCAAGTGCCTGGAGCAGATCCTCACAGATGCCCCCCCCTCCATACCAATACATCAAGAAGGAAATGAGACCGGTACTCTATTTAGGAGAGATGGGGGGGTTGTGTCCCGGATTGGCATTTTTCTGGGCACCTTGGAAAAGGGATTATATTGCACAGAATCAGTTTTTTCGGGGAGGTGCCCGCTTGGCAGGAGGGGCAGGATAGCCAACCCCACCTCGGGAGGGTGGGGTTGCCGAAGGGGAAGAAAAAAGGGACCCCAGTTAAAAACAACAACAGTCCCCCCCCCCCCCTTGTATCCAGAAAGGCCCCCAGATCGGCAAGAAAAACAGGCAGGTGCCTGGCATTGCAGATTTCTAGAACATGATGGGCGGGTGGGAAGGGAATTAAATGCAAAGCCACCAGGATTTAAAGCCCAGATTTAGGGGCCACTCTGCCCTCCTTGCCCCCCCATCCGTGCCCCACTGCAGTATCAGGGGGGGGGGTCTCACCTGCCAGCCTCTGCCTCTGTGCGTCTCTCTCGGCTCGCTCCTGGCGTCTGCTGCAGAGCTTGTTAAAAGCCCAGTGTTGCTGCTACTGCAGGGATGGGAGGCAGAAAGGGGGGGGGGAACCACACACACACACACACACACAAACACACACCAAACCACCTCCCTAGCTGAGCTCATCCAGCCAAGGGTGGGAGGAGCGACCGAGCATCAGCATCATCCGCGCATGGCATGGGAACGGAATGGCATCTCTCCCTCCATCCTCCATCCATCGCTCCGGGGTTTTTTAACCCTTTTCTGGGCTGCTTCCGAAGCTGGAATCCTGGGCAAAGCTTGAAGGCCCCCCCCCGGGGGGGATTCACCTGGGCAGGATTAAAATAATCAATAAATCCATGGGGTGCCCCCTTGTAGGAATGAGTTTGAGTTTTACACGAGACAAGGAGGGCATCTGAAAACAGGACATTTTAGAGAGCAGTCGCTCATAAGGTCGCCATGCTTCGGAAGCAACAGGACAGCACATAGCAGCAATAATAATCGTAGAACGGAAGAGCTGGAAAGGGACCCTCGGGATCATCCAGTCCAGCCCATCAGGCCCAGTGGGGGCAGATTCGAACTCCCAACTTTCAGCTTGCACCTTGGGTTGAACTGCAGATCCGAAAGCTTCAGCGTCGAGCCAGGACGATCTCTCCCCTTCTCGTTTCCTTCTGGAACTCTGTGAGTCCCAGCCAGAGGAAGAGACCTGTAGCACCTAGAAGCTTGCTAGTCTTTCGAACACAAGGCAGAGCCTCCGGGTGGTTCTCAAGCTTGTTTGGTTGGAAAAAGAAAACACTCAGAAAAATTGACGCTTAACAAATACCTTTTAAGCTCTGCCGTGTATACAGTAGGGCTGTGGATGCTAAAACATGTGGATAATAGCAAACACTATAATAGCATGGTCTCTGGCTCCCACACGTGTCCTGTTTTGGTAAATACCACCCTGGAAATACATATAGTGTATATGTGGTAGAATATACCAGATGAGCGGGATATAAATCAAATACATTAACTAAATAAATAAATATAAATAGGTATTTCTTCAGGGGGTGGGCAATTTTGTATTTTCAGGCAGTGGATAAGTGAATCAGCGGATATTGATCCAGTGAATGGGGGGAGGGTCCTACTGTACTACACAGAGCTACACTGTGCCCAGAAAAGCGAACAAAATCACTATCTGGAAGCCCAGGAACGTACGGTAATATTAAACGGCGCGTCTCCACTGTCTTGTATGATAAACTTCTCCTTTGAAAAAAGATGACGAGAGTGACAGCTCAGATCATAATATACATCGCATGACGGAAATACATGAGTCGGCGTCTGGGAACAGTCTGTAGAGAGGAAGTGCAGTTTTAAAATAACTTGCTCTGAAGCTCTGATTTTCGATGGAGCGTGTGCTTTGATGCCGTTTAATAACCTACCTTTCTCCCAAAAACAGGGATGTTAGGCATCTCGCAACAGGGACAACCAAGCAGGAAAGAGTTAAAACGGTGAAAACACAGCCCGTGGAATTATTGTGTTCAAATATACTGGGATGAAAAGCCATTTAAGATCAATTATCTGGCGGTGAAGAGGTCCTTCCTTAATAATTATGAGGGTTGTGCCAAATCCACCTCGATGTGGGGGAAAAATCTTTGCTCGGTGACAAAAGGGCAACAGCATGAAGCACGGACTAACATCTAGTGTCAGGGAGTTCCGCCAGCTGGGAAAATATTCCCACCCCAAAGAATCTTGGAAATATGAGCAGTCCCCAGCCAGCTTGCATTTCAAATTTCTCTAGCAAAGGCGAGACCACAACCTCGAACATAGGGAAAATTTGTCCTAGAGTATATGATGGATGTTGGGAGGAAAGCAATGACAAACCTAGACGGCATCTTAAAAAGCAGAAACATCACCTTGCCGACAAAGATCTGCATCATCAAAGCTAGAGAAGGGGACGAGTTATTTTCCTCCCTGTCTCTTTGATCGGTGGGTGGCTGTTTGCTGTTGATCTCTTCGGTTAGTTGCTATGGATACGTGCCGTAAAGAAAGCAGTCTGCTAAGTGATTTCTTAAAATTCTTTAAAAGTTATTGGGACTTTAAGTGCCAGTGAATGAGAAAGGGGTGGACTATATGGGGAGCCCTGTACCAATTTTCTTGTGTGTACTTCCACTGCACAGCAAAAGAAATGTTACTAGAAATGCAAAACTCAGCAACACCTTTATTATAATTTGCTCTCAGCTCCTCACTTGTCCTTCAAAATTCAGGGCCCGGCAAAAGTTTCCGCAGCCCACCTTTCCGTGCGATGTAGCAGTTAGCGTCTTGGCCTAGGAGCTGGGAGATCCGGTTTCGAATCTCCATTGGATGACCTTCAGCCGGTCACTGTTCCTCACCCCATCGTTGACTTTCCTAACAAGACCGTTATGACAATCTCAGAAGCGGGGTGGAAAGAGAGGAATTCCGAAAGGGAAGATGGAAGACCCACTTTGTTTCGCCATCCGGAAACACACTGCAGCCCACACAGAATCCAGTTTTGAAAAATAATTTAATTGCTACCTTTTTTCCCCCTCTCCAGCCTGTACATTTCCTCTTGATCTACGTTATCGGCCACACTCACACAAAGAGACACATGCAAACGGTTTCATCTCCAGATGCTATTCCAGAGCAAAAGAGAAGGGGTCTTGGCCACCACAACAAAATCCTTCCTAAAGGGGACAGGATTATACTCCGGTTACCCCAAGAAAACTATAAATAAAGAGTGTGAGGATTGTCCAGAGACTGAAGGATATTGCCAGGTATGTGCGTGTCCCAGGAGAAGATCGTGACATCCAGTTTTATGAACCTCAGACTGTTTCTCGCTCAAAACAAAGCCAAAAAAAAAAAAGCAGAATGATTCTATCAATCCTATTCTTGTCCGCGGATGTGTGTGAATTATTAGTCCAGGCCAGGGAAGATGTGTTTGTCTCTCTGTGTGTGTGTAGTTATTTGACAGAAAAACATCCTTCCGCACAGCATCGCTTCACCCGGAGGTAGACAACACAAGGAAATATTTGTTTTTAGAATGGGAAAAAGCAAAACTTTGCCGAAGTTATTTTGGGGGTTTGAAAAGGGCCCCGAACCCAGAAAGACATGCTACTCTGGAGGGGCATCAAGGAATGGTTAGTTACTAAAAAAAAGTCACTTGTTCAACCTGTAACTAAAATTCATCTCCCTCGCTTTCTCTTTACAGAAGAGAAAGGCAGAAAGAGGTCGCCTGGTACTTGGCCAAGCCTAAAATTAAATAAAATAGAATTTAAAAAAAAGAAAGAAAACGTGAACCGTATAACAGTTGCCTGAGAGCGTCTCCATTTTTAAGTTGCTACTGGGGGAAAAAAAGAGGGATTTAAAAAATTCTGAGCCTCTTTTTGTCTTCTTAGCAGCCTTCAAAATAAAATAAACTTTCTAAAAGCAAAACCAGCCTCTTAAAAGACAGGTGGCCGTTCCCCCCGCCTCACGCCGACAATTCCCAGGAGCGAAACTGGTTTCCGAACCCGGCGCCAAACGCTTGCAGTGTAGACGCACTGCGGAGACAAGAACTCGAAGACAGACACAGGCGATGGATCTAAGGAGAGGGAGACCGTCGCCGGCTCCCCTCGGCGCATCGTTCCCCGAACAAGCACACACCGTTTGCTACAGGCTGGTTCCTTCTTCACGGCCGAAGGGGTGTGTGTGTGTGTTTGTGTGTCATTTCTGCCTCTTGTAGATCAGTTGAGCTAAGTTAAGGAAAACCTGGCTCGGAAGGCGGACGGCGTGCTGGCGGATCACATCTAGCAAAGCCTGGTAACTCTTCTCTTCATAGTCCCGGTAGACCCCTTTCAAGTCCAGGGTCTCGTAGAGCTGTTTCACACGTGCGACTTTCTCCGGATCTTTTTGGCCGTAGTTTTCCTAAGAAAGACACGGGATCAAGAGACGGAGGTAAAGCCGGGTGGCTCACGACTCATTACCTACCCCCCTTTGGGTTTTTTTTTAAAGGTTTGCATGCTTTGATTCCGGATGAGGTCCCAAAGACTCAAGACCGAGGCTCAAAGCCTGGCCTACGCCCCTGGATCTCGGTGACATCACAGGAGGCGACCCTGATGACATCACGGAATGACATCACAGAGGCGAGGCAGCCGAGAAACCGGCCCTGGTCTATTCTCTCGGCACAGAAATAAGCTATGATCCTTGCACCTCCGTGGACAGACGTCCAAACAGTGGACGCCTGGGTGTCTCTTTTTCGTGGCACTCGGCTGGGGCCCAATCCACCGAAAGGGGGTCGGAGGGAAAATCTGAGCCTGGTCTACCAGCTCCGTGCAGGAGGGAGACCAGGCTTCCCAGAAACCTGTTCTGGTCTGCTCTCTCTCTCTGCACGGATGTGGACTGGGGTCTCTCGGAGAGCCGCCACGCCATGCGAGAGGTAAAACAGGCTTGCCTGCCATCTCCTTGATTCCGTTCATCCTCTACCGCCCTTGAACGAATCTGGAGTGCTAAGCGGGGTGTTACCAAGCTCCCTCCTTCCCAGAATGTGAAGGATACAAAAGGTTGCGGAAACTCGGGCAATGAGCAGGGAAGCCACCGTGTGAGCGAGGCAGGGAAGCAGAGCCCCGCGGGGCGATTCCCGACCACATCAAAAGGAGGGTTAAACTCTGCCTTTCCTGACACTAAAAGGGTGACACGAGAGTGAACCAAATCTGGCTCGCTGGAGAAGGAGGAGAATGAACTGGGCTGCAGCCGAGAAGGTTTTTCATCCAGTTTACCTCCAGGAGCCGCCTCTGCTCCGGCGAAGCTCGTTTTAAGCACTGCACCACCAACCAGCTGCATTTATTGTCTTCAATGTCGGTCCCGATTTTCCCGGTCACGCTGGGATCTCCGAAACAATCCAGGAAATCATCCTGAAGGAAGGGAGGAGGATCGGTGTGATGCTCGCTGGGGGCCGGCCCTACCGTTAGGCACCGCGAGGTGCGTCCCGAACAGTTTTCGGTTCTGAAACTGCAAATCTTGCCAATGTCCTCTTCTACCTGCCCTTTCTCCCCAAGGATCCAGGGTGTGATCAAGCGGAAAAGCCTTTTGGAATATTCTGATTAAAACACTAGGTTTTCCCCTGGTTTTAAAGAGGACACAGATTTAAACATGTCCTGCTAGGAAGTTCGTTGTCAGGGGTTTTTCTTTTCAAATAAACTGTCTCCACTCATTTCCAGGCCATACAAACCATTCAGTGTGGAGCAGAGGGTGCTTGAGAAATATGGACCTATTTGGAGCTGCTAAGCTTCTAGTCCTCATGGATCCAACCTTTGAAAAGACAGGCTACCCAGAAGATAAAGAGATCTACTGATCTACTGTATGATCCCTGTACCCCCTGTGGATGCTGAAAACTGTAGATAATAGCAAATGCTTTACATCAGAGGCTCAGTCAGTCTGCGGTCTCAAAAACATTGGGGACTGCTGCTATACATAGCAGGGTAAAAGAAAAGAAAAAAAATCCAGAATAAAGTATTTCTTCCATGTATTACCAGAACTGGCCACTAGAATGAGCCAGAGACCAGGCTATGTATTCTTCAACAACAAAAATACAGTACATAGCATGGTCTCTGGCTCTCTAGTGGCCAGTTCTGGTAATACATGGTGAAAATACTCATTTCTAAATTCTTTTTAAAAAATATATTTTTAATATTTTCCAGAACCGGATAAGTGAAACCACAGATAATGGTTACACGGATATGGAGGTCCTACTGTATTTGGAACTCCTAAGGTCCAACCTTTGAAAACACAGAGTGCTCAGGACAGAAGAGTCAAGTACGGGCCCTTCTCTGAACCCCATCATCCTTGCTTGACTTCTTGGCCAAACAAGGGACCTCCGAGAAGCAGGAGGCGGAAGGACGGGCACCTGAATCTGGAAGAATTCCCCCATCTCTAGGAGAATGGCTTTGGCGTGAGCGTGTTCCTGTTCGCCGTCAATACCAGCCTGGAGAAGAGGAAGAAAAACGAAAATATGAATCAGTTAAGTTGTTGGGAGACAGTTCTCACTGCTTGCAGGGAAAAATAAACCCTACAGTCCCCAGGATTCTTTGGGCAGGGAAAGAAAGGGATTTAAGGAGAACTATGAAGATCTGGACTACAAACCCCAGCATTCCTCACTGATAGAGCCAACAGGATTTGGGTGGCTGTACTTTGCTCACCTCCATCTTAAGTGGTCCTCAGTAAAGTCAAGCCTTTTTCTGGATTTTTTTTAAAAAAAGACTCACCTTCCCAGAATTCTGGAATTTCCACCTTCAGTTTACCTGCCTTTCGCTCACCTTGGAACAGGGCCTTCAAGAGCTGCCTCGGGCCTTACTTCCTGTTGTTCATATGCAAAATATTGCTTCCCGGGAGTCCCAGCTCTTTGGGAGGCGCCCACTGGAGCACCTAAACTATAACTCCCAGGAAGCACTGTGGCAGCTCCCCCCCTTATTTTTTTAAATATTAAAACAGGAAGCAAAACAAGCCTTATCAGCTAAATGGCCCCCTTGGTTTCTATTCCAAACTCGCACCGTTGGACCCTAGGACAGTGGTGCCTCGCTTAACGGGCACCCCGTTTAACAACGAAATCGCATACCGATGAACTTTTTGTGATCGCTTTTGCGATCGCATTGCGATGTTTTAAATGGGGAAAAATCACTTTGTGATTATCGGTACCCTGTTTCGCTTACCGATTATCGCAAAGCGATGATTTTCTAACAGCTGATCAGCGGTTCCAAAATGGCCGCCGGGTTAAAAAAATGGCCGCCCACTGTGTTTTCGCGTGGATTCCTCGCTTACCGGGCGGTGAAAATGGCTGCCGTATGGAGGATTTTCGCTTTAAGGTGAGTTTTAAGCCCATAGGAACGCATTAAATGGGTTTCAATGCATTCCTATGGGCTTTTTAAAATCGCATAGCGACGAAATCGCTTTGCAGCCATTTTTGCTGCATGGATTAACGTCGCTATGCGAGGCACCACTGTACCTTTAGAGGAGTGAGAGCAGAGGAACACCCACACACACACATGCACCAGGAGAGTTTTAAACCCTATAATTTGATCCTGAGAACCCTCGGGGCAAAGTTAAACCCTATGATTTAGTCCATTTAAACGCCAACAGTTTCTGTTGGTTGGGCTCCCACCCACCCCTTTGGCAAAACCTGTTTGATTGTCCAATAAAGAAGGCGGTTTGCTATTTTGCCATGGCCCTGAAGCAGCTTACGAAAGGATGGGGTGGGAAGGCTCAGAAATGGAATGGGCCTTATTAAATGGACCAGCAGCCATTGAATTCCTCAAAATTACCATTTTTTCAATACTAGATGTTCCAAACCACCACCCTTTTTCTTCTCCTCCGAATGCCAAACTTTCCGACAGCATCTATGGCTCCCGGATGATCCTAGGGCAGAATCTTAAACCTTACCCTCCCCTCCAAAAAAAACTCTGCCCAAATTCAAGTCACCCACACTAGAGGAAAGATCTCAAAACCCAGAACTCGCACCCACAACCACGCGGGGTCAAGGACAGAAATACGCAGCAACGCCCCCAAATCCTGCATCTTGCACCTCTTAACGCAGCGAAGCATCACCCCTTAGCTGTTCCAGACTCACCATGTACATCGCGGCAGCCACCGGGAGGTAGAAAGAATAGAACGCGGTCTTGTATTTTACAATCGTCTTGTACCTGAGAAAAGAAATACCCGTTTGATCCAGATCATCCCCAAAAGCCACAAATGCTTCTACACATTCCAAAATTTGTAATGATTTTTTTAAAAAAAAGCCAGGCTGGATATGTTCTTTAGAAACCGACTCCGAGGCCCATCAGCCCCAGCCGCCAGTAAAAAAAAAATCAGGAGGGAAACAGGAGCTGCCCCTTCTCACCTCTCTTCTGTGAAGCGGTCCAGATCCACCGACGGTGCGGTAATAAGATCCAGGGTTTGCCCAACTTCGGTGTGAAACGTCATCTGGAGGGATCACAGCCGTAGAAATGAAAAACATTTATAGAATTTAATCAGCAAATAAGTGATTATTAATAACTCATAATTATTAGTAACTAATTTATTAGCTATTGATTGCACCGGAAAGCCAACTTCTCACTTTACGTAAACCCAGCCATTGCGTCTCTGTGCTTTCAGAACCTAACCCGTTAACCTCGTTACCTTTCCTGTACCATATTAAACGCAAAATGAACCTCGCTTCTGAATACATGGAACCCCCTTACCTGCAGGATCTGTATCTGCTGATTCGCTTATCCATAGCCTGAAAATATTAAAAATATTTCCACCTCTAAATCAATTGTGACTCCAAGTGTCATGATATTCCCATTTTTCAAAAGGGGTGAGAAGGGTGTTGCTTTTTATTTCAGACTCAAAATACGCAACTCCTCAATCAATAAAAGAAATTAAAGGTGTTTCCCATTTTAAGATGGCACGGGAAAGGTTCTAGTCCTCAAGGCTACTGGTCTAGGCTTGGAAAGCACAGAGACATAAAGGTGGGGTTCACACAAGATTTCCAGAGCAATCAATAGATAAGAGATGATTTCCAGCGAGTTAAAATGAGCTACAGAGCTCAATCCTCCCATATAACATCGTTTCCCCTTCTCAAAAATTCAGCCTGTGGAACTCCCTGCCACTGTGCACCCCCCTCAAACTCCTTGTTATCCAAAAGAGGAGCCCTTTTCCAGAACAAAAGGGGGGGAGGAACCGTCCCTCCGGCGGGATGAGGCCACGGCCTTTCCAAACCAGATAGGGCACCCTTAGAGCAAGGAGAGATGGCCCCGGGGGGCTTCTCGAAACCCACCTCGAGGAACAACTCCAGCAGATTGAGGTAGAACGGCTGGTCTTGGCAGTACCGCTTGAGCAGCCGGTAGATGCTCGCTTCCAGCAAAAACGAGTCGTTCACAGCGTCCAAGCCGATGCCTTCCTAGGGTCCAAAGCAAGAAGATGACAAAAATAACGCCATGATGAGGGATCGGACAAAACAGCTTCGTTCAGCCACCGATCCTTCTCAAATTCTGCACCGTGGGCTATCCAGACCATGCCTCTGAGCATGTCCGGAGGGTTTTCATGCACCATGGCCGGCCCTCCGCAGGTCAGTAACTAGGAATGAGGGGGCCCTCCTGCTGCCTCTACAGCAGACACGGTTATTGTTTAAGCGGCAGCTCAGGCCGCGGGACTCCCTGCCACAAGAGACAGCTAGGGGGGTGTCC